GCACTAAAAGAAGCTGTTATTTGGCCTGTTAAATTGAAAAAGTTTTTCAGAGGTATGTAATTACACAAATTAAAAGATCTATTTAATGATGTTTACTCTTTTATATTAGGTAAACGTAAACCATGGACTGGTATTTTACTTTATGGAGTGAGTATATCATTTGTTGATTGATTACACCGTCTCTTTCTATACCTGATTGTAGCCACCTGGTACGGGTAAATCCTATTTGGCTAAAGCTATTGCAACGGAATGTAAAAGTACATTTATATCTGTAACCTCATCGGATCTTCTTTCGAAATGGGTCGGTGAAAGTGAAAAAAATGTGAAATGTTTATTTGAACTGGCTCGTGAAAGACAACCATGTGTTGTATTCATTGATGAAATTGATGCACTCTGTAGTCAACGTAATGATACAGAATCGGAATCTTCAAGACGTGTGAAAACTGAATTTCTCGTTCAAACAGAAGGTTGCTTCATTCTAGTTCTAATACGAAGAAATCAATAAATTTCATTGGATGATTATTTAGGGGTTGGAGCAGACAATTCAGGTGTTCTTCTTCTTGCGGCAACTAACATTCCTTGGGCATTGGATATAGCTATGCGACGACGGTACGATTCTTTTCTGTACTTTTCTTAACTATGATTTATTGAGAATTTTTTAGCTTCGAAAAGCGTATCTATATTCCACTACCTGGTGTGAAAGAGCGTGCGGTCATGTTCAAAGCTCACTTAGGTACAGACATACCATATGAAATTCAAGATCACGAATGGATGGAATTAGGTCAAAAAGCTAATCAGTAAGTTTTTAGTTTTGGTATTGATTGTGATATTTTAATATCGAATTGCAGTTATTCTGGTGCTGATATTGCTGTCGTTTGTCGAGAAGCTTTACTCAGGCCTCTTCGACGACTTTGTTCATCAACTCATTTCAAACGAGTAAACATTTGTTTATCTTCTATATCATTATTTTTCTAACTGTCACTTAGGTGAAAAATCCCAATTCTGATGGTTCTTCTGAACTGTGGCTTCTTTGTTCACCTGACGATCCTGATGCAAAAGAAATTTCATTTGATGAACTTGATTGTGATGACTTATTTGAGCCTCCGGTGACCATGGTAAGAATTATACAAAGTTAAGCGGCAAAGAAAAACTTACTAATATTTTTATTTTAGGTTGATATGTTAGCTGCCTTGGCCAGACAAAAACCGACAGTCGGCGAGAACAATTTAATTGCGTACGAAAAGTTCACTGAAGTATCCGGTCAGGAAGGTTACTAAGTTTTTGTCTTGCTCTCCCTTCATGTAAACAAAACCGTTATCTTCCTCTTTTTTTTCTTTTGCTCTCCTTCTATTCAATCATTTCTTGTATTTGTGTAATTTGAAATTAAAAAAAATTGATTTCTTAGAAGAAATATATTGATAAACACCAATAAACTTGACTTCTTGTTGTTTTATTTTCTGAAAGACAAGGTCACACTCACAAAAAGATGAGTCTGTTCAACCAACTAGAAAACAGCATTCATCATGGCTTACAAAATCTCGCCAAACTAACGGATCATGAGTCCCGACAATATAACTATAGGTTATATGTGATGAGTAACTCAAATCTATTCTTTATTTCTATCATAGACCTTTCTTGAGTTTCGTATGGAGCATAAAGTTGTCGTGGTGTACTGGACAAGTACGATGTCGGCTTGAGATTTTGTAATAGAGGAGTAAATTGTTGCTCTCGGATATCCTCTTCTCGATAGTTCATCTCTAATCAGCACGTTTTTGATGATTGCTGTTGTTGTGAGATGATTGCATTAATAAAAACATCATCGACAATACTTTTCGACATATAGCCTAAAGATCGATTATGGGAAAAGGATTGATGCATTTGAAACATTAGTCGTCGAAATTTTTATTAGTTATCGAAGTTTGAGAGAAAAAAGTTCTCAAACCATGGATTATCAGGGTGTGGGTGAGGAGAAAACAAGTGGAGTTGTCACTAATGGCAGAAGAATTATTTGTGTTCTGTTATTGTTGGATTCTACGAGATTGGTATGAATAGATGAAAATTCAATCGTTGTTATTGGTGATGAAATATTACGATCTTGTAGAATTTGTTTCGGTAGTAATGAAAATGATGTAGTATTTTGGTTGTTGTCCAATTGTTGTGTTTGTTCATCTTGTTGTCGAGCAGTTTTTGCTGCTTCTGCTAGACTATGTTTGATATCTTGAAGTTCTTTTAGAAAGGCTGATCGTGTCAATGAATTTTCTTCTTTAATCGTTTTTGTTTCGTGAATGTTGCTAACGATTTTTTCTCGGATCACCTTGATATCGTCTTGTATGTTTTTAATCTCTTGATTATGTTTAAGTTGTAATGAACGGAGGATGTAGGTGTCATTCAAGGCAAGATCCACATTAACATACACCCATACCCACATCCACACCCTCATGGAATGTATTGCACGTACAAAATCTACATTTGATGACTTTTACAACATAATCATGAAACATTAATTAAAATTGTTTCTCTCTTGTAATTGCTTCGTCTTGGCTTAAAAAGTTCTAAGGAGTTGTTTGATCGCATAAAAGTTTGTATTCACAGATCAATGTCGCAGATAAAACAAACATTATCGCACAACAGTAGATCTTACAAATTTCTAGCTATTTTTATTTGCAAGTCTTTCGAAAAAGGGTTCTAGGGATGTCTATATCAGCAATCAACGTAAAAGCAAACTTTCGTTGATCTATGTTACGTTTCATTTCACCTGAGTCATGCATCAATATATTTTGGTCGATCATAGTGGGTAATTTATCCCTATTGATTGTTTGTTTCGAAGAGAATATATCATCACACAACAATATCAATTTAGCTTTCTGATGGAAAAAAAGGATTCAGAGACGGTAACTTTATATGCCTACTCGAAACATCTTTCTATGAAAAATGTTTGATCCTGTAGTAAGAAAATGATTTGCTTTTTTTTTTCTTTTTTAGTATCAATATCAATCATGACGTCAGAAGCAATTAAAAATTCGATACTGATGCTCTGTTTTCAATCTCAACAGAGTAGTCATTTGATTGTTATGATGCATTTGATCTGCTTCATCGTTTTTATTCTTATTGTGTTCTGTCGAAGATTGACGAATGCATCATTAGATTGTTCACCATTTCGTAATGACGAACATCTCCTTTCGAAGATGCCATTCAAAGTCTATCTCGAAAGACATAAAAACGCCACACTTGACGATGAAGTAACCAATGCTGTGATCGATCCCGTTACTGGCCATGTTACGCAAATATTGATATTCCAACAAAATTTCATTCCTCGTACTCTCTTTTGTCTGACCCACGTACAGCGTTTAGAAGTTATTCATTCGAATTTCGAAAATGGTCAATTATCATCAAAAATTGGTCGATGGTCGGCGACTCTCAAGCACATTAATATGCTTGGGACAAATGTTGGTCGTCGTTTTCCTGATGAGTTTTTCAATTTGACACAACTGATAGGATTGGAAGTGATCGACAGTAATCTCAAAGAAATTTCTCCTGCCATTGGTCGTCTTACCAAACTAAAGAAGCTAAGTTTTGGTTCGAAGACGCTTACATCAATCCCAATTGAAATTCGTCAACTCACCTCTTTAAACACTTTGTATATCAGTTCTGACTCTTCATTGAAAACATCATTAATATCGATTATCAGTGGAATGACCTCATTGACGAGTCTGTATCTATACAATTGCGAGCTCAAAGAACTTCCTAGAGATTTGCCCTATCTTACGACACTCTCTATGATGTGGAATAAGCTAGACAATCTCAGAGGTATTGCAGAATTGGGCCATGCAACGAACGAGAGCAAATCGTTTGGTTTTAGCATAAATCCAATCCAATCGGTGCCGTCCGAAATTAGCTCTGTCAGAAATCTGTATTCACTCTATTTGGGCAATACTCAACTTCGAACATTACCCGATGAGATTTTTCAAATTCGAACATTACGTATACTACGAATGGCAAGTAGTTTGGCAGGTAGAGAAGAGTGCAATCGTCTTGAAAAACGCTTCAATGAAACAAATCCTGGAATCAATTTCATATGCACGTAACATCACGATTGCCTTCAGATGGTAAACAAGCATCAATAAGAATTCTTTATTCTATTGGATTTGTTTTCCTAATAAATTTTAACGATTAAATCAAATGAGTTGACCATAAAATATAACAGGTGGGTGTAGGTGTGGCTGTGGGTATGAGTATGAGATATGCTACTCATCTCACTCATGATCCACATACACATCCAGATCCAAACACACCCACACCCTAGACCAAGTCGAGTCATCAAAAGTTGGACCAGTTTCGAGACCTGGTTTAAACGGAATTTTTCTTGGTGGAGACGGAAAGAACTGAGAATGAAGAAAAGAAGATGAGACTCACACACATCTTCATAATATATCAATAGAGAACTCGTCTTTTCTCTTAAGCAATCGTCACTTATCTATAAAAAGAAGCTACTGAAAGTTTTTTTTTCTATCAAATCAGAGAAGATAAAAATTTCAGTTTCAATAGATTGTCAGACAAAAATTAGATGATGCACAAATGAAAATAAACAACAACATCATTAATGCCGTATTGCATCCTCAGAAACATGAGTAGATTTAATATTACTCTTTCGACATATATTTCAACAATAAAAGAATACTAGACATCTGCGGTTTGAATATTTAGAAATAAAGTATTGTTTTCTAGATAAACGATGATTTTCAAAACTGTGAACTAATGGCAAAGATATCTTTTTCAATCATTGTATAGCCGATATTTCATGGATAGTTTACATTGCGAAGTTATATGAACATTTATTTTTCAAAGTTAAATAGAAAAATCTAGATAATTTTAAAAAAATGTTCAGATGTAGATTAATGAATTTACCAATGTCGATGAATATATTCATTTAAGCTGACTTTTGTATCAGTGAACGAAAATGCTTTACCGACAATATCACCGTAAGAATCTTGATCAATCACATAACCGTACGCCGTCTTTGCCAATTCAAGTTTATCATGATCGAAGGGAAGAAATTTCAGCAATTGTACCACCTGCGATGCTGATATCACTCCAGCAGCACCTATAGTTATTTTCATATTATACATCTTATTGTCAGGACTATCATTTTTCTTTAATGAATTGACCAAAGTGTCGAACTTATATGGATCCATGACGATTCAATTTATTACGAATATAAATCTATCGTGTTAAATATTTTTCTCCACCTTTTATAATAATGCCTCTTACTTATAAAATATTTGCATAAGCTTGAAATCAAAACTTCTTGATTAAGTAGAATAAGTGAGAAGTCTTAAAGACAAATATTTTTATGAATTTGTACAGAATTGGAAGAATAATAGAAGATGATGTATTGGGAGTATGTTAGAAAATGAAGGTGACACCGATATGTTTGCATGAATCGGTGAATAATATTCGAGTAGATTTTTATTTCAAGAAAAATATTCAGTAAAGATAGAATGATAAAATCAATGATTATCGATAAATGTGTTAAAATTTAAGAGAGTAGGATGAATGGCATTTCTTCTTCTTCTTCTCCTTCTACTTTGTTGTGATAAAGATATATTGTTGGTACGCGTAATTTGATTCTCATCGAATAGTACTTATTCAACTCTCAATGGTAAATATCGTACTAGACTGATGACTGTCATAACAGATTTCAATTCATATTGAATGCAACGTTTCATTTCGATGCAAAATTTTGGCTCAGTTAGACTATAAATGTCAAAAGCAATAACAGAATTTGTATAATAAAGTAGTCGAAAGAGATTATATGCAAAATTGTAAATAATCAGTTCAGTTGGTGAGAGTTTGTATTCAAACATAACTGTAACAATTGCATCACATATAGCGAGAGGAAAATAAGGAATTGAGATCGCAGTAGTAATGAATACTTGAAATAAAAGTATCGTAAACAGTTGACGATCATTGGAATTGTCACGTACTGGACTAGTACGACATAATAGATGTTTATTACGAAATAAACAAGCTCTAACTAACCGAGTACAGGGATAAAATAGTGACCTAAATATATATAATTGAGAACAGAAACAAAGAGGGAAAGATCATAAAGCAGATAGAGAGAAATAAATAATTGCCAGTAACGACAGAACGAAAGAGAATGACAAAATAATAGAAGCAGTAGCTATGAATCACTACATCACATGAGCGTAAACGTTCATTTCGTACATTGTTGCCATGCAGATCAATTTGACCGCGAATATTGCGAACGTTGAGA